TTTTGTTTTCCAGGAAAAAGGAAAAATTATAAAATTTCTGGCTGTTAGGATGATGATAATCCAGGCTCCTTTGAATACTTAAGAGTGATGAAACTTGCCTGGCTGGCATGGCTCAGCAGTTGAGCATCGACCTAGGATACAGGAGATCATGGTTCGATTCCTGGTCAGGGCACATGTCCAGATTGCAGGCTCGATCCCCGGTGTGGGGTGTGCAGGAGGCAGCCGATCAATGACTGTCTCTCCTCATTGATGTTTCTGTCTCTCTCTCTCCCTCTCCCTTCCTTTCTCTCAAATCAAAGATATGTTAAAAACAAAACAAAACCCAGTGATGTAACTTTTTAAAAAATTCTAATACTGATAATATCTTGGAAATCACTGCTGTGTAATTAGTTAAGTTTTAATTTAAATGTTAATTTACAAATATTCCAGGGCACATTTTTTCGAAATTCTTTTGGTAGATACCTGAGCAAAAAGTTTGAAGTCCTTTTGTACCCGCTAATGTCAGGCTATATTGTTGATAAAATGACTAAAGTGTTACGTTCCTGGCTTTCAAGGAGTAGATTTTTCTAGAAAAAAAATACTACATCTATATCTGACACAAAAACGCATAACTTTATAAAAACATGAAATGTAAAGAAGCTTTGTATCTCCCCTCTCCATTTTTGGCAAACAAGCAACTGGCTCTTTAATGTGTATAAGCAAAATTACAAATCCATATTTTGTATTTGCAATTTTAAGTTAACTCTCCCTCCCTTGTGTTTTCTTTATCAAAGTGCAGGCTGTAGAAAATAAATGTTCTTGTTAAAATGAGAAACATTTTAACAGTGATTCAAAGAAGATTAGAATAGTGGTGATTCTGTTGAAAAATTTTAAACATGCATTTTTAAAAAATTAAAAATTATTCACATCTTCTTTTAATTTGCTAAAAGAAAAAAGGAAAATAATTTTGGAGGCTTAATACTTCATCATTTAGATAATGTGTGTGTCCCCTCTATGAAGAATAAATAGATAGGCTAAAATAGAAAGGCTAATGTAAACATTTCTTAAAACTAAATTTATTTATTTTTGGCTTAATGGAAGCACTATTTCCCTAGGTTTTTAAATCCTCATGCACCAGGTTGGCTCTTTTGCTGAGGATGAGGCACTTTTGTGGTAGTGTTGCCATGGTGACTGTCTTCCAAGTGCTGCCTCAAGGTCACTCATCACTCATAGCCCTGAATACTTGGATTTTGTTAAAGAAAAATATCAACACTCAGTGGATAAAATGAAGTTAATTATCACATTGCATTACTCAGTCAAATCTAGCAAAATTATAAACAGAATTTTGTGTTGACAGTATTGATAAGCTATATTTTCTTTGAATATTGAATTTTAATCTGCCATATTAGAAGGCTGATGGTATATGTATAAATTATCCATAGCCATATATTGTAATAATTTGATTTTATTCCATTTATGACCTTTTAAAAAAAATGTAGCAACTTTACTTTTTTGCATTTATGTTTAAGTATGTCTAAACATACCTGCCTCAGTATTTGTTTTTTTGATGAAGTAAGGGCAAAGATTCCTTAACATTCCTTTTCTTTTTGGTAAACTTAGCTTGAAGTTGCCAGTTGTATCAGCTTTTGTTGATATTAGGATGATTATTTTATTTTTCTTAAACTAGATTTCAGAGATCTATTGTCCACCTGGCTTCTATTTCATGTATTCTTTGTCTCACTTATCCTTACTTTCTGGATTTTTATCTTTTAGTTAAAGTTAAGATGTTATACCACCAAAGATTTTTATATATTGCTATCAAATTTGTTTTCATTGAAGGAAATATGAAAGAAATGCCTCCTTGCATTATTCTTTATTTTCCTGTGAATATTGTTCTAAGGAGAGGGGAATCAGAGCTGTGTTCCTCCTTAGGCTGGAAGGTGACTTTGAAATCAGAGATGAGAAACATTACTGTAAAAAGGAAAGTGCCACCAAAACAAACAGAAATTGCTATTCAAACATATGTGGCTAGAAAATTTGGTCTTTCAGCTAATTAGAATCTAACTAGTTGCTGTACCTCCAGGGGAATTGGATAAATTGGTTCTCATAAAGCATTTTCATCTCTGCTTCTGCAGAGCAGCCACCTTTGCAATGTCTGATCAAGAAATTATTTTACATGCTTGAAATTTTAATGAATACAGAGCTCTATAGATACTATTGGAAATCTGCCAGATAGTATATGCTATTTAATGTTTGTTTCATTTATGCATATTTATGAAACCAACTATGTTATCTGATGCTATTTTTTGCTAATTTATTTGGAAAAAGGAATTGATTTAAAACTAAGCTATGATGTAAGGCAAATGATCTAGAAAAAAGGAGTATTAGACTAGGCTATCCGGGCCCTGCACTGATCCTTCACCTGTCTTACTGCATGAACTTGGTCAAGTCACTTTTGTGCTTCATTTTCCTCATCTATAAAACAGGGTAGTTCCATTTCCGTTGTGACCTTTCATGAATCTAGTCCATTGTTTTGTGTATTAAATTCAGATTATCTTCTAAATGGAGGAGAATTGCAGTTCATACTAATCTGAAATGCTGAATCTTTCCCAACTAATTTGTTTTTTTTTAAAATTTGTTGGATTTTTGATGGAGATTTATGTTTCCTGAGGTAACCTTAAAATGATTTGTGTTCTAGATGCATTTTTAACTAGATTATTTTGAAAGGGGGGGGGGGAAGAGTTTGAGTGGTACTGGTTATCTGACAAATAATTAGCAGTTTTTAAAATGTTTTGCGACTCTAAACTGAAAAATATCAAATAGAAATTGATTTTGAATATCTTGAATGTGGGCTTAATATAGATTCTAGACTTTTTCAATGAGGAGGGAGGGTTCATATGCAGTATTTTTCTTTGAAGTTTTTTTTGTATCTCATTCCATACACAGGAGGGCCTTAGTCTCAAAAGATGGTGCACATCCATGATTCTTTTGTATTAGGAAAAAAATAATATGAATTTTAAAAACTTACAATATATAGAATATATGAGCAAAAAGTGAAAGCTATTTGTGGTTTGGTATTGTATCTTTTCATACCCACTTCCATGCATATATAAACATGTAGTTTTTACTTTACTGAATCTTAAGTACTCAGAAAACTAAGCATATACGTTCTTTTTTACAGGCAAAAGGAAAACCATTATTTGTACAGTTGATCCTGGAAAATATATGAAGTTTGTATGATGCTGTCTTTTAAATGCCGTCTTTTAAAGGATAAACTGCTCATTCTGCCATTGCCATCTTTTTGTCAGTGCGTAAAGATCTACTTCATTTAAAAATAATGACCACTATGGATCTAGTAGAGTCCAGTATTAAACCAGACCTGGTTAATACTGGTGGGTATATTGATTGACTTGTAAAGCAGTGTCACAAAGAACATAGTTTTTCTTCCATTTTTACCTATGTGTTCAAATATTTCCATAGAACAAATTTCTTTAAGTTGAATTTCAGTCAGAGGGATATCCTTGATGTTTGGATAGATACTTACAGAAAGGTTTAAGAGTTTACAGTTCAGTCCAGTCGGGCGTGGCTCAGCGGTAGAGCATAGACCTAGGATCCCGGAGATCGCGTTGGATTCCTGGTCAGGACACGTGCCTGGGTTGTGGGCTCCATCCCCAGTTGGGGGCCTGCAGGGGGCAGCCGATCAATGACGACTCTCTCATCATTGATGTTTCTGTCTCTCCCTTTCCCTTCCTCTCTCTGAAATCAATAAAGATACATTAAAAAAAGTTTACAGTCCGGTTAACAGTGATACCTACTTTGCACGCACAGTTTCATTGGATTATGATCTGATCTTAGCTGCCATTCATCTAGTTACCCACTTGTGTTAGGAATCGCATCAGGTGCGTAACTGATAATTTGGTAGATACTATTTTTGGCCTCATTTCCAGTTGAGGAATTTGAGGATCAGAGAGGTAAAATAACTTTCTTAAGGCCACAAAACTATTAAATGGTAGCACTGGGGTTTAAATCCCTGTCTCTAACTCCAAAGTCTGTTTTTTCTATCTAAAAATATTGCTCAGGTTGAGAGGACTGTCTTTCATAGGTGCACATAAAAGTTCAGAATTTACATATTTTTCTTCAAAACCAGTCAGATAGCCACATAATACGTTACATGTTAATAGTACTTTTAGATCAGCTGTAGCCTAGATGATATAGATAATGCACTTTATTTAAAAAAACATATATATAATTCCTGATTCTGGCTTTAGGTGTTGATTTTTTTGACTTGAGGAACCAATGAGTACAACTAGAAATATACTGCCAGTCTATAAACCTAATCTAGTTTGAGGAAGAAGAGTACACTATTAGTTTGCTAGGGCTGCCATAAAAAAGTACCACAGACCAGGCAGCTTAAACAACAAATTTATTTTCTCACGATTCTGGAGGCTTAGAAGTTCAAGATCAAGGTATCCCCACAGGGTTGATTTCAATTCCTCTGAGGCCTCCTTGGCTTGTTGATGGCCATCTTCTCTGTGCCTCGCATGGTCTTCCCTCTGTGTGTGTTTGTGTCCTAATTTTGTCTTATAAAGACACTAGTCATAATGGATTAGGGCCCATCCTAATGACCTTATTTTAACTTAATTATCCCTTTAAAGACTGTATCTCCAAATACACTCACATTCTGAGGTGCTGGGGGTTAGGACCTCAACATGTGGAATTTGGGATGGGGGCACAATTCAGTTCATAACAAGCCATATTATTTTTGTCTTCTATATTTTAAGGATTTTGTAATCTTTATGTTTGTAATGTCTAAGCATGTGATTTTTAAGTGCTCTTTATACATTTGAAATGACTGGTTTAACATTATGAAAATACTAAATCCTTGCTTTTTAAAATTTTCTGCTCCACTAAATGTATACATAGTTCCTTTAGATAATAATTATAATTAATTTTTATAATAAGAAAATTGTTATTTTGGGGGGGGTGGCAGTTTAGAAGAAGTAAAGTATATTCATTGTTAGAAAAGAAGCTAAGGTAAGTGATAGGAAAAGCCTCAACTCTCAGAATGTACTACTTGGATGTTTGCTTTCTAAGATTCTTCTATCATAAAGCAATACTAATATCCATAGTTACCATTTATTGATCACTTGATACATGTATCAGAATCTGAGTATTTTAAGTTCTTTATGTAATTCTCATATAGTTCTTACAACCCCCTGAGGTATTTTTTATGTCTGTTTTAGGATGAGGCTCTCCGATGAGTGGACTAGTGTGTCTGTATCCAAAGTTTGTAATCTTTACTATACTGCTTTATTTTCTACTTACTTGAAATTTGTCATTTTATGACATTTCTCTACCATATTATACATGATTTCATCTTTTCTGGGCAGTAGCCAGAGGTTTTCTCCTCTGTGTTGGGCAGAATTCCAGAAATCATTCCTGGAAGAGAAAACTGAAGGCATTTGGTGTTTTATAGCATGACATTAAGTCATAAGTGTGTGTGTATGTTTTAAATTCCAGAAAACTGTAGTAGCTGTGTTGGCATCATTTAATTATATTTTAATTTCTTGAGTCCAGGAGATTTTATATTAGTGCCACAAATTATTTGATGGCAGACTTATTCTTGTTTTTCAATAGTGTTTCACTTTATTTTCCTTTGTGCTTATAACCAAAAAGATTATCTGTGTCTAGTAATACAATATTTTCTTCAGAGAACTTTTAAAATGTTATGGGATTTTATGTAAAACCTTCTTATATACAGGTATACCTCAGAGATATTGCAGGATCGTTTCCAGACCACCACAGTAGAGCAAATTGTAATCTTTTTGCTGGTAGAGATTCTTGCCTTCAATTTGTAAAAAATTCAACATTTGTGACACGCAGTAAAGCAAAGTGCAATCAAACAAGGTATGTCTGTACTGGTAAGCAACTTTCAGATGTTTTGACCTCTTTTTGGGGAATGATTCTTTCCTCTAAGATCTCTGAGTATCCTGTATATATTCATATGTATGAATCTTTCTTCTCTTTATTTAATCTACCAAAATTTTGTGTGACAGCTATGTGTTAGGTACTGTGGTTGAAACAATACAGAGCCTGGGACTTTCCCTTTAAGAGGGAAAAGAATAAAAGACAGTTACCAGATGATAAGCAAAATTGGAATGTTCAAAGGTATTAGTTATCGAGCGCATTGGAGGAATTATAACCTAAATTGGGATTGGGAGGGTGGCCTGGAAGAGACAAAGTTGAAGCATCTGGTAAGCTTTCAGGAGGAGGAATGTTATAAGGTATAAATTGGAGGTGAGTGGTGGGTCAGTAGAAAAGCATTATGACTGAGAGAGCAGCTTGTGTGAAAGACTTAGAGCAGTTGGGGTGTCCTGTGGGAAATGGTAAGTTATTTACTGTGGTTGGACCCTTAGAAATAAGGAGAGGTCCTTAGAAATGAACCGAGAAGGGAACTTGAACTTTATAGGCATGGAAGATTTTAAGTAGGAGCATGGAAAGATTACCCTGATTCGGTTGAGGATTAAATGGAGAATAAAGGGAGACTTTTGGAGTAATCCAGGGAAAATGGACTGACTGAACTACTAAAAGGTAGTTGTAATGGGGTTAGAAAGAACTGGATAGATTTGAGAGATACTAAAACTAATGATACCATGGATGACAGAGGTGCAGGACATAAACCCTTATTTATTTTAAAGATTTATTTTAATTGATTTTTTTTTTTTTAAAGGGGGGGTTGAGTTAGGGAAAGAGAGAAACTTGAGTATGAGAGTAGAGCATCAGTTGGCTGACTCCTTCATGTGCCCTGACCAGGAATCGAACCTGCAACCTTCTGGTATATGGGATGATGCTCCAACCAACTGAACCCCCCCGGGCAGTGTGGTTGTCTTATTTTTGAATATTATTTTGTGTTGCTTTTTCTTGGTTTATATTTGATAATAAAGATGATTGTGATTAGAAAGTTTTATAGAAGTATTTTTTTAAATGTCTTTATTGATTTCAGAGAGAGGAAGGGAGGGGTGAGAGAGAGATAGAAACATTAATGATGAGTCATTGATCGCCTGCCTCCTGCACGCCCCCTACTGGGGATTGAGCCTGCAACCCAGGCATGTGCCCTGACCTGGAATCCAACCCCGATCTCCTGGATCATAGATTGATGCTCAACTGCTGAGCCAAGCTGGCTGGCCTAGAAATGGCTTTTAATGACTCCGCACTCCCCCCTATTTAAAATGTTAATATAGTACTTACAGAATTGAATTTTTGCTGGGCTTTTTCCTTAATGAATCTAATTAATGGCTCTAATGTAGCTAAGTATCAGTAGATTGGCTTAAATCTTGCTAGAATATTTTTGTTATATTAGCAATTCCCATTCACCACAGATGGAATCTTAGCATACTTGGGGTCTCCATCAGGGTGGACAAGTTACAGCTTCTGGAGCCCTTCCTTATCTGTAATATGAGATGCTTTTCTTGATAAGCTAATGTATATTATTTCTATAATTAATAATTTTATAGTACTGTAAAAATGTTAAGTGTTATTGCTATATTTTCTGCTTGTACTCTATAAATCTCTTGATGGAAATTTTAAATCTAATGAGATTTATCAGTGTCTTGCTTTTGAAAGCCTAAATGTACTTTCCCACTATAGTACTGGAAAGAACTGCCTATGTGCAAACTTTTATATTCCTCAAGACTTGTGGTGTTTCCTGTTTATGAATGTGAAAAGATACTCATGTAACGAACAGCAGTACCTTAAGTGCTCACTTGGTACTTACTGGCTTTGTCATTACTAGGAATTGTCAAAGTCAATATTTCTTTCCTTCTGTGTGAATCTCCCCAGCTACTTTTGGGTTCTCAATGGGAATGGTTTAAAATATTTTCTTCCCTAATTCATTTTAGCTACTTGTTTGTGCTTTGTGGATTTAATAAAAAAATATAAAAATACTTAGTAATTTTATAAGTTAAGTTTCTTCTTGTTAAGATAGCTCTGAGGTTTTTGTGCGAATCCCCGACAGTCTGTAATCCTATTTCAGTAATACGTATCTAAAGTTTGTATTTTCTCACTACTTAGCCCTCAAAACAAGTTTATCAGAAGAGATTTTCATTGGAAAATAAGATAAATTTCTTTGACAAGACAAAAACTGTCATTACAGTATATTCAGCTTGACACATAGTAGGCATTTGATGTGTTTGAATTGGTGGAAAGAAATCTTTAAAATTCTTTTTATGCAGATGATACTGCAGAGACTTAGGACAGTTGTATGAGAATCTTAAAGAAAAAATGTTCACATTGAATTAAGTTTAAATTTATCATTGAGAGCCAGCATGTTTGGATTAGTGACCCAGAGATTACATTAGGTCTGCAATGAAAAATTTCCATGTTACTTTTTTTTTTTTTTTTTGAGAGCCTTGGGTGAGATCATAGAAGTGAGCATATGGTATAGAAATTCTGCAGCCTTCTTTTTTTTAAAGTTTTATACAACTGAGTTATAAAAGAAAATACTACAAAACTTGATTACTTAACTTGTGTTAGATATTCACCTGATAGTGTACTTATAATTCTCATGATTTAGAAAATTTATGCATTTTGCCTTGGCCAGTGTCGCTCAGTTCATTGGAGCGATATTCCGTGCACTGGAGGGTCTTGGGTTCGATTCCAAGTCAGGGAACATACCTTGGTTGCAGGTTCGATCCCTAGTTGTGGCGTGTACCAAAGGCAATTGATCAATGTTTCTCTGTCACATCAGTGTTTCTCTCTCTCTCTCCCACCTTTCTTCCCTCTCTAAAAAAAAAAAAAAAAAAAAAAAATTAAGGCCCTGGCCAGTGTTCTCAGTGGTTAGAGCATCGGCCCACACACCAAAGTGTTGCGGGTTCGATTCCCAGTCAAGGGCACAAACCTGGGTTGCAGGTTCGATTCCGGCCCAGTTGGGGCAAGTGTGGGAGGCAGCCAATCAGTGTGTCTCTCTCATGTTGATGTCTGTCTGTCTCTCTCACTCTCAAAATCAGTGGAAAAATATCCCATGTGAGAATTAACAACAAAAATTAATATACTTTATTTTTTATAATAGTTTTAGATTTACAGAAAAATTGAGCAGATAGTACAGAGGTCTCATATACTTCCTCTCTCCCCAGTTTTTCCTGTTAACATTTCGCATTAGTATGGTACATTTATTATAATTAATGAACCAATATTAATACAGTATTACTAACTAAAGTCCATAGCTTACATTAAAAGTTACCTGTGTTTCATCTGTTCATTTTTTTTTCTGCCTGAATCCTGGTAACCACTGGACTTTTTACTGTTTTTGTAGTTTTGGCTTTTGCAGAATGTCATGTGGTTGGAGTCATATAGTATGTAGTCTTTTCAGATTGGCTTCGTTCACTTAGCAATGTGCATTTAGGGTTCCTCCATTCTTTTCTCTGCTTGACCACTCATTTCTTTTTTGTTTTGTTCTGTTAATCCTTACCCAAGGATATTTCTTCCCATTGATTTTTAGAGAGAGTGGAAGGGAGGGGTGGGGGGAAAGAGAGAGAGAGATCTATGTGAGAGAGAAAGAGACATAGACTGGCTGCCTCCCACTTGTGCCTCAACTAGGGGTGGGGAGCGAATCTGCAACCCAGGTATGTGCACTTGACTGGGAATCAAATCTGCAACTCTTGTGTCCTTGGGCTGACGCTCTAAACTACTGAGCATCACTGGCCAGGGCTGAATAGTTTAGTTTCATTATTTATGATGCTAACTAACCTTGACCATTTAGTTGAGGTAGCATCTACTACTTTCTCTTATGGGGAGATACTGCAGTTTCCTGTGGGGTGTAGAGGTTTTGAATCTGTAGCATCTGCTACTTTCTCTTATGGGGAGATACTGCAGTTTCCTGTGGGGTGTAGAGGTTTTGAATCTGTCACTGAGAAAACATCCTTACTCCTTAAGCTTATACCCGCTAGTTTTAGCGTCCACTGATGATTCTTATCTCCTGAATGAATTATTATGATTTTGTCAAATGCTGACTTTCTAATTCCATCATTCCTTCTATATTTATTAGTTGGCTTTCTACTGTAAGGAAGAGTTTTTCCTTTGTATATATGTTTTCATACTTATTGTGGATTCATGAACTTGTAGTTTATCCAGTAGATTATGACCTTTACCGTTATTATGATGCTCAAATTGTACCAGATTTGTCCAGTTGATGTTTAACTTTGATTATGGGTTTTTTTTATTTTTTGTTTTTGGTATATGGAAACTACAAAAATATGCTAATTTTAAATATATTGATCTTTTTAGACTTCTGGATTTTGTGTTGTACTCAGGAGAAGCCCTTTCTTGCTTTCACTGACTCCCCACTATTGATCATCTAAGTCCCATGGTTTTCTAACCTTTGTTGCTTGCCTCGTGACCATTCCATGGCTTCTAAGTACCACACTGGGGAGTGGCTGGGAATAGAGAACAAAGGTGCAGAGAAGCTCAGTAGTTATGGTTGCTGTGCATAGCCAACCCCCCCACCCCCAAAACAGACAACAACCATTAAGTCATAACACTTGTAAATAAAAATTTAACCCTTTGAAATAAAAACAAAAATCTTTAGGGTATTTAAACTTCTTTTCAAGCAGTGTGCTTAAGTGTTCTTAATGATTCAGGACACTAAGAGCATTATTGTTAAACTTTTTTCTTCTTCTTGCTGTTGGTGACATCTCATACCTCCTGAATTAAACAGGATTATTTCTCTTTAGGCTGAAAGACACTAGTCTAGACCACTTTAATTTTAAGAGTTTTTCTGTTTTCTTTTTCTTTTATTTTTTTTCTGATTTTCCTTTGCTATTGTTTGCTAGCCAATTAGCCGTACTTTTTTGCTGTTGTCAATACTTTGCTTCTAATAGTGTCTCCTTTCTAATTTGCTGTGAGGTTGGGAA